CCCAAGTACTTATTTCACTCATCAGCTAGAAAAAATGTTATTATAGTGTCGTATTCTTAATAGTGATGTGAAAAAAGTTCATTTCAAAAATAAGAATACACTTTATGTATGAAAATAAAAGATGCTGTTCAAAAGTTCTTACAATAATGTTGACCAAGTTAGGGGAGTAAGCACAAGTGCACGTTTGTCTGCCTACATGTATAGAAATTACTGCTTATCTTTTGATTAGGATATCGGTATCAACTAGCAGCTCATTAGTTTCCTAACGGAGATAAGTACATTAGTTTTATACGGTAGTTTACGATGAATGGCTATGCATTAGTTGTTCCGTGTGTAGGTAACGAGGTATTTTTTTTCATCCCAGACGGACCGACCCGAAACTTTGCGCAAAGAACGAAAAACTAACAAACGATGACGTAAGTAAGCAATTCGCTGCTCTGCATCGTTCCTTTGATCTTGGAGCATCACTTAAAGAGGGATTTCGTCGTAAGGCGGGCAGCACTGCGTAAAAACAACCGAACGAAATACGAACAAACTGCGGAATTATAACTTTCTCGAATACTCATTTCATTTTATTTGTAAACACACAAAGAAAATAAACCGTCGCTTTCTAGCGCTATCCGGCAACTCGACTCTTTAACCTCCTCTCGTTTGTCTCCACCGACGAGTCCCCTTTGTACCCGTTCGTTCGTCTCGTCGCCTCGTAACCACGGAATTACGACGAAGCTGTCAAATGGCTCGGTTGGTGAACTGCAGAGCTGGTCGTGGGTGATGATGACCTGGTGCTGTTACATGGAAAATGATAACTATTATAATAAACAATGATAACGCAACAATAATACAATTAGTTTAAAGAGAAATGACATATACCATTAAATGCAACATGTAGTGGTTATTGCGACAATCGGTCGGTGCGTGATAGGTGTGTACGCGTATAAAAGCCGAGATTGGCAGTGCATATTTTTTTTAGAAATTTGAAATTCTCTTCATTGAAGTCAGTATTATTTGTTTAATTCAATAAAATATTTGGATTTTGATCACAGTTCGAATAAAATATCAAATAAACTAAATTAACAAATATTGAATACTGCCCATTCTAACTTTTTAATTTTAAATTACAATATTAAAATTTTTTGTTTTAAATACGATATTTTTAATAAAAATAGTAATTACTAAAGAAATCTGAGTACAGTTGCAATTATTCAACATATTTTAACTAAATCATTTATTTTATTTTGAATCAGACAAAATACAATTGTATTTACAACGTTTTGGTCATTTAAATATTTTGACTTTAAATATTTAACTTTACACATAAATCAAATAAATTTATTTAATACTGCAGAACACGTTATTAAAAGGAATATATTTTTGACATTAATACTAATAATAACAATTACACTTTAATCTCAAATATTTTTAATTCTTACCGTGAAAAGTTTTAATTTTTTTAACAATACATTTGATTTAATGTATGTAAAATACTAACTTATATTCAAATATTGTATTAAGTATTTGTACTAATCTTAATAGTAATACGTTTAGTTTCATAATTTCAAGTAAAATATTTTAAATACTGTGTTTCTTAAATAATATATAAACAAACATTCATGTAGACAATTTTTAATGTTTGAAATGTTTTATTTCAAATGATGTAATTGTTTAAGTATTTTTTTTTTTTTAATAACTATTCCAACCACAAAAATTAATACAGTATTTCATTCAAAGAAAAATTTTTAAATGTCCAAACAACTTTAATTAAAAATAAAAGAAAGTACTTCATAGCATTTCAAGTCTGTCAATTATTGCCCGTCTCTCGGGATACAAAAAAATGAGTAAAAAAATTTTTTTTTTCATTTAAGTTAAACTACATCATTCCAGTGATCAAGGCTTCTGAGAAAAAAAGTGACTAAGTAGGCCTCAGTACGTCATCTTCATAGTGGAAAGGAGTTTGTTAGTTTTGAAATAAAAAAAGCGCCCTGGTTGTACAAATTTGCCCTGACGGCAGAAATGTTATCCGTTAATAACAGTGCGAACAAACGTCTGTGAATAAGATTTTGAGCAACAATTTCAATTTTTTCAACATTAATTCATGCTCACGAGACCAGTTGCTCTCCAAAATCTTGAAACAAAAAAAAAGGCGTATTTTATGTTACAAGTGATCAGACAGACGTACAGACGGACGCGGTGAGCAATAAAACGAGCGGAAAAGAGGGAGATGAGTCCCGGAGGTGGGTGGGAAAATAGGGTATAAGCACACATCCGCACACCAACACACACACACACACACCTATAGAGGTATACGCTACACGGAGTACAGACAGAGACAATGGGCGCGCGCTCTCCTCCACCAGTTACTTTATATACACGCACCAAGTGTACGTGGTAAAAAAGCTCCTCCACTCCGACCTCGTCGTCGTCGGCAACGCTTCTCGTGGATGCATTGTCACGTTACTTGGTCGTGTTTTTATGTTAGAGTAAATATATATATACGCTCGCGTGCGCATAAATGGGGGGAATGGGGGGGGGCGAAGGAGTTTCGTTTCTTCACACAAACACACACCCGTTCGCGCGGAAAGAGAAAGAGATCGAGTTAGCCGCGAGCCGCGAGTGGCCGTCCAGTTCATCGCCGTTCGCCGTCGCGCGTTGACACATTTCGTCGTCAGCGTTGCAAGGCTGCAGTAACTTGAATACATACGTAGGTATACTTACAATCGTTTCGCGCGGCCCGTCGAATCGGTTGAAACGAGCGCGCGAGTGTGCTGTGTCTTTACATGACTTTTTTTTTTTTTTTTTTTTTTTNCGAGCCGTGTACAGGCCACACGTAGCAGCGGTTGCGTGCCTAGCACGTGAATCGCTCGCGATTTCCTGCGAAATGATGAGGCGCTCGTTTCGCAATGTTATTATTGTCAATAATTTTGCTCTCCTCCGACGCGTGTCATTTTTTTTTTTTTTTTTTTTTTTTTTTTTTTTTTTTTTTCTTAAAATTTACTTTTTCAATCGAGGAGAAGCTTTTACGCGAGAAAGCTCGGCAGGATTAGGTATGGTACGCCTCGTCGCATGTGTTGTGTGAACAGGGTCAGTTATCCCTATGGTCCGAATTTTACGGGGGTACGAGATTATCGTAGAAATTTTTTTTTTTTTTTTTTTCAAAATTTTACTCTGGTTTATTTAATGCAACTAGACTTTTAGTTGCTGATAAAGTTTTTCAAAATTTTACTCTGTATATGGTGTAAGTAAACTCGTGCACAAGTGGTTTTTTTCTTTACCGATTGAAGTTGATGTTTGATAACATGATGCGGATTAATTCTCAAATGTTGGGAAAAACTAAATACCCAAAGTATACGGTAGGACACCAGCGTATAATATATTAGAGTATAGTACTTCCTAAGCGTCACGCATGTAAGTAACGATACACGGACGCGCACGGAAAGCTTTTTCAGTGGCGCAGTTCATTGACTTTTAAATTCGCGAGGAGTATGTACCCGGTCGAAATGAATTAATCGATTGTTGTAAGCCACGTTGCTGATATCCCGCTCTTCGTTTTACAGTATAACGTATATATACCCATGCCGATTGAGATAGGGTATCGGTTGATATTGTTCATCGTTGGTATCTATTTTTCATCTGATCGTGAATTGCCGGTGTAATCAAAATGCCTCGAGATCAGATAAATTCGGAAATTGTGAGTAAGACGAATTCGTAAATGCGACAAATTTGATCTACTCTTTTAAGTTGAATCGGTGAGATCCCGCGGATTCGCAGTGAATATTATTCGATGATCAAAAAAAAGGTGAAATTAGGTCACTGCGAATCAGTAAATAAGTATACAGTCAATGAAGGGAAGATTAATTTAAAAAAAGTGAATTAATTTATTTCCACTGATTTTGCAATAAAAATAGCTTTGGAGTTTAAGAGCATAGTTGTAATGTGTGTAAATTTAACTTTTGTTTTAACAGTGAAAGCTCGATCAATCGGAATTACTTGTATATTTTCGTTGTGATAAAAAAAAGGATGAGATTATATGGAATTTTCCTATTTCTATCATTTGGAAATCGAGTATAATACATCAACAAATAATTCACGAGACCCGGAGCATGTGTCAGCATCTGAAATCCGCAGATACGAGACTCTAGCTGCGCGTGTTTTGAGAGATTGCAAAAAGTTCTTGCGCAATATCGTCGTTTTGCTCATCCACGTAAAAACGCGACTGCTTTTTTAGAACAAGCATATATAAGTAGGGGGGAAAAAAAAAGTTGGAAATTTTAATGGGACCGGAGTCGTCTCGGCGCTGCACTGATGTTTTCGCCTGTGCGATTATCAATCCGATCGGCGCGACGGTGACCTTCGATGGAGCAATTATATACATCGTTGCCCCTTTTATATGCGATTGAGATTTTTCAAAAAACTGGATTTTTTTGAAATTCACTTTTTTGATATTCACGTGTACATGTACGTTTTACAACTTTTGCACTCTGAAAATTAACTTGTTGACCAGTGAAAAACTGCAATGACCGATTTTTTTTTTTTGTTTAAACCATTTTTTGACATTTTACTTACGCTGAGGAACTAAAAAAAATCGTACGACTATCCATTAGTTGACAGACCTAGGCTTGAAGAGGAAAATAAAAAATTATCATTAAGAGCTAAGGATTTTTTGCTCTCGAAGCGACAACTTGTGTACTCGGAGAAGAGGCAAATATTTATAAAGATATTGTACAAAGAGCACTTTGTCAACGTCGCGTGCGACATATCTTGCGTGTGTATGTATTGTGTACTTTGCAATTGTATCGCCACAAACAGTGTTTATCAGTCATTCACACGTATGTTAAACAAACGCGAAAAAAGCTCTCCTTTCGATTGAAACTCAAACAAAATACGGTCACAAATCAACTCCGCAAACGCGCAGTGTTTATTTAAATTGAAAAAAATAATCATCGACAAACAAACAAACAACCATGATATATAATGTCCAAAACGCACGTAATGTGTTGTTGCAGAAAGAAAAAGGCTTCGGGTGACGCGGTTCGCGGGCTAATAGTGTAGAAAGCAAAATTGAAAGGGAAAAAATCGAGGGATCCCACGATGAAGCTCGAAGACACGAGTGCGGCCGAGGATGACGGGAACGGAATATTGTTGGAATCCAGGAAGAACTCGGTGGTGCGCTTGCAGATTGTGCCGGTCAAAACCAAGACCATCACCCACCTGCGCAAGAGACCGCCCGTCGACGTCGCCTTCGCCGATCTCACTTACAAGGTCCGCGAGGGACGCAAGAGCAGTGAGTATACCTTTTATTTTTGTCTCTTGTCTCAAAAATGCTTTTTACGCTCTGATCTTTTTTTTTTTTTTTCACTATTTTTATTATTCTTGCCAACATTTCACGATGATACTATGCAGTTGTGAAAAAAAGAGAATTTAGAAAAACCACAAATTTTTTTTTTTTTCATTACTTTTTTACAAAAAAAGCTTACAAGTACTCGTATTTACGCTGAGCCGCGAATATTTCCAAAGCACCGTAATCGTCACGCTCTACTTTCGGGGCGCGTATAACTTTCCACGCTCTTGTGAAAACAATGAGCGACGAAAACAAACGTGGCTCTCGTATGCCCAAAGTTTTTTTTGCCTTCTATCTGTGCACGCACGAGTTATCGTTACGAAAAAAATTATCCGAGCCCGAGTCCCGAGCACGTCACCGCCTACTCGATGATATTCGTGTCGGAAAAAAAAAAAATAAATGAAAGAAAAAAAACTGGAAGTGGTGCCCAAAGCATGGAAGACGTCAGTTGGCTCACGCGGGCATTAATTGCGTCAAGAATCGCGATGCAAGGCTGCAGACTTTTTTTTATCATCCTCTGCACTGAGGTAAGGGGATTTTTCGATGCGGCGAACGGAAAGTATAAAAAATCGAAAATTACGTCGTTTGTATGAGCAGCGCGCGGGTTTGGGAAATAAAAAAATGTCTACTGTTTACTCTTCGATAAATCATGGTGAAACAAAGGCTGTATTTTTGTTGATTTAAATAAATAAACAAAGCAATAAATCAGTCGATGAACAAATCAGTTTGTTTTTTACATTATGTCCTTTTTTTTTTTTTTTTTTTTTTTTTTTTTTTTTTTTTTTTTTTCAATTCCAGTTCTGACGTCGCAGCGTACTTGTCGCTACATTCGACCGAAATGTGTATACATTAGCTCAACTAACAATCTAAATTAATATTTTTTTATCACAAAAGATTGATGAATACATTATACCAGAGCCTTTTCTATTTTTTTTATTATATTATTTATGTGATTGGTTAAGTCTAGTCGCATGGTTTGTTTGGTGGGGTTTTTAAAAAGTCAAATGTATTAAATTGTTGTGATATGATATTATAATGATATTGAATGATGGTATGGAACTTTGTTTGTTTATCCTCGTAAAGTAAATAACTAGACTTGCAAAAAAGGAGGAAACGAGAAAAACAAAATTTTTTGTTTTCTTTAGTAGTGTGGTATATGTTTACTTCTAATAATAAAATATGGAAATATTTATAGATTATTGTAAAAGTAATGGTAATAACGTAGACCGCGTGTCTAACGTAACTAATAATAAAAAAACACAAAAAAATATTTTCAAACGATCTGCCGGCTGCACACAGCTCTGCGTCGAGTGATTCAGGCAATGTAGGTTGAATTTCAATCCCCACGTGTTGTAAGTACACGCACAGAGAAAAAGAAAGAAAAAAAAAGACAGCCACGTTCTTTGCCATGACATGCTTCTTGCTTCGTACAATGTTAATCCAATTTCTATTTTTTTTTTTTTTTTGTCAAGCCTCCGTAAAATTATAACCTTGCGCATCTGTAGTACCGTACACGTATATTCATATCACTCATCTTCTCGTTGCAATGGTAATTATTGCGACACGGATAACCGTTTATTTATTTGTTTTTTAGTACATGACAGATAAAAAATTTCTTCACTCTTCCTCCTTGAGTCAAGATTTACAGGGTAGTATGTAAATTATGTAAAACGCTCGATCAATTCGAATTCGCAGAAATATGCATTAAAATTATCGATTTTTTTTTTCGAACAAGATTATTAGTTTTAACTTAAAAATTAAGCTACAGACACAGAGATTCAGTTGAGTTTACTTGTGATTCCTTAGCCATGAAAATTTTCTTACTCACGGGTATTAAATTTTTCTATCGCACGCTACAATCGTTCTCACAGATTGGACAGTATATGTACACTGTTGTCTATCGTCAGAGACATCTTTGTTCTTCGTAGAAAATTTTAAATAAGACTTTTATGGTTGTGCAATTAATTACGTGTAGTTATTGGATTCGAGTTATTTTCTTACCGGATGAATCAGAAAAATTTTACAGCCTAATTAATGCACGCTTTAATCTATGTACAATACCTGAATTGGTGCTTATATATAAAATATAAAATAATTCAATTCTATGAAAATTAAAAAGAAAAAAATTAGTTGCGAGTTTTTTATTCCATAAGTTTTATACACGGCTTGGTGTAGCAGAAAAAAAAATTAGAACAGTCTCAATAAATAAGAAATCAAAGTGACAGTTTTAACTTGAAAATTAGTTTTAGTGAAAATTTTTTTTCAGTTAGGTTATTGGTTACAAAGCATACACACCTTTTTATTTTATAAATATATTTTTGTATTGATGTATTATGATATTTTCAGACAATAAAGAAATAAAAAGTACAATGTACTTTAAAGTATACTCTATTAGCAATGTATTCGAACTTTTAATTACCATATCTTTAAAATGACACCGATTAATCTTTTGAAAATTTAAAATAAAATTTATAATCTGGACTGTGTCTCTATTTTTTTAAAGAATTTTTTATTTAATTGTTTAAGTAATGAAACTGTACCCGTCACATCTCTATACATAAAATAAACTTGTTGAAAGTAGTGCTTTTTACTCAGAAGTTTCTTCACGAATTTCTCAAGCAGACACAAAGCAAGATTTTTTCATAAACCTCCTTAAAAGCCTTCTATAAGCAAAAAACATCGCTGCTTAAATGTACATTTCGTCTTTTACCTGCAAAAACACTTTTTGCGAATTATAAAACTGTACAATTACACACACGCTTTCTGAATGTGTACTTCGAATTGATGTTTTTCTTCATCAGAAGTGACCTATTATTTGCTCGAAAACATGTCACTTAAAAATCATTCAACATAATGATAGAAGCTTCTTAAATTTCCGTGTAATATTTTCAAACGAGGAAAATCTGTAGCTGCACAAAATATAGAAAAAACTCATTGGTAATATATTCGATACGATAGCAAGATGTTAATTTTTTTGTTTATCAGTCTGTCATTTTTTTGTATATTGAATGGGTACAGGAATAGATTTCTTATTAAATATACTTATTCGGTATACGACCTGAATTTGATAGCAGACGAATGTAGATAAACCACATGCTATGGATCAATTTTCAAGGTTTAGCAAAAATATTTATATTTTAAAAATTTTTTTATAAAATATTGAATTCATGGCATCACAAATTCAGATCTTAAATAAACGTTGCCACAATGATATAATACTTTTATGTTTTTTTAACACACTTTTTTTTCATTAAAAGTAAGCTTTATTCAACAATGAAACGTTACTCATGTACAGTTTTAGTTAAAAATAAAAATTAAAATCCATTAAATTAACTTAGTAAAGTTCACAACCAACCAAGATTCAATACGAAACAACGCCTCCTTCCGTATGTCTTATGCTATCCTCTATCATTTATAAAACTACGATCCAAACCTAAAAACTTATTTCTTCATTTCAATGGACACGACCGACCGTCAATTCATTGCATAACTATATTATATATATGTACGTGCAGCGCGCGTGCAGGGCAACAAAGAAAAATACATACCGGCTTATAAGATTTTATCGCTTTACGGAACATCGTGTGTTGGTAACGGAAATCTCGTATAATAATGAATAGAAGACACACTTCTCTTGCGAAGCTTGTGATGCTTGTTGAAAGTCTAACTCTTATGCCTGACTATGCCGGTGTAATGGAAATTCATAATGGCAATAATCGGAAGTACACAAGAACTATATTAGGAGTGTGCCTCTACTCACACTTTTCAATATTCGGCTGGTACTGTCAGTTTTATATTGGGAATATAATGGCAACGTAATAATTTTTATGACAATTTTGATGTGTTTAAATTATATATTATTTATTTCTATTTCGTAACAAAATTGGATTTTTTGCCTTCATTATCTCTGACGTGTCTAACTTTTGTCATCAGAAAATAATTTTTAATAAACTAATTTAATGTTTAAATATGATGAAATTTTTTTTTGAATACATATCGTTAGAAACAGATATCAGAAGTCAGTGGTTTGTTGGATATGGAAAACAATTTTTGAATATTTATAGAGCTATTTTATCTATCTCTGATTCGAGTTATTAGTATAAAAAAAAAAATATTCTCGAAACAACATAATACTAACAATAGCCACTATAATTGCACAAAATTTCTCTAATATTGCATGGAAAGACAATTTTTTGAAACCTTGAAAATATTTACTACAGAAGAGTTTCACGTAAATAATCTTTTAAAATAATATTAAGTTTTATTCTTTGTGCACTTTATTCTTTGGACTGTTGATTGATGACTTTTATTTTCTTTTGTCACCATGAAAATTATTAATTTTTTATTCAGAGTAGGTACCTCGAATGTTGCATTAAAAAAAAAAGGTTGCAGCTGATATTCACAGTTTCACGCTATAAGATTAATCTTTACAAAAGCTTATGGACGAAAACACGAAATTACAAGTTATAACGTTGTGACATTATCGAAACGAAAAAAATAACTTTACTTCTAACAATGTCAATCATATAAAATTATAGAATCTGCATAAAAACTTTCACAACAACTCCATCGATCAAAAATAAAAAATCACACTAATCGTTCATATTTAAAGTAAAAAATTTTTTGCACCTATATTCTACTTAAGATGGCTCGGCAAAACACATAAATGTCTGCGTTCGAAATATCCACGTTAAAGTATAAAGGATTCAATCTGTGCATATAATCCGGATCCACTCCAAAACAATTGTAGGATTATTACTAATTACCAATCGTTTGACATAATCTCCGTTTATTTTTCCAAGAGAAAAAAAAAAAAAAAAAAGCAAGTGTGAAGTTACGTGTTGATTGACACTGTATACGTGTGCTCTGTCGCTCTGTTCCCCATCCCCTGATCGATTGACCGATTGTACCAGCATTGCTTTTCTTTCAAATTTTCTCATTTA